TTGGGGTTCGACTGGCTATGTGCATAACCAAACTCACAAGTATGGAAAGCTTGGTCCAAGAGCTACCAAAATGGTGTTCATTAGATACCCTGAACATTCAAAAGGGTATGTTATGTTTGGTGAACATCCAGATGGTGGCATGACTGAGTTGGACTCACGCAATGTCGATTTTCTTGAGGATGAGTTCCCAAGTATTGGTGAAATTAAGAAAGACCTTCAGTTGTATGAGTTACAACAAGAAATACAATTATCTTTAGGAGATGAAGGGGATATGTTACCTCTAGTGGTCTCCAATGATAATGAAGTTCTTCTAAATTCCATTGGTGAAATGCAAGTATCTTTAGGAGATGAGGGGGATTGTTACCTCAACAGGTCTCCAAAGATAATGAAGTTCTTCTAAATTCCACTAGTGAAAAACAAACTCAAAATGAGGATGAGCCTCATAGAGTGGAGCATGAGATAAGTTATCATGCTCATAGCCCCATGCCTCTCGAGGACAGTGGGAGAAATGTTTCAGCTAGTTTGGAAAATAATGAAGGTCCTACTTTGAGAAGGAGTGATCGTGGAAGAATTCCTCGTCGATTTTTTCAAATTGAGGAGGATGTATTTCTTTGTACTCCTTTAGAAGTAGATGAACCGAACTCTTATAAAGAGGCAATGAATTCACCATATAATTCAGAATGGAAAGATGCAATGAATGATGAGATGGACTCAATGATTAAAAATAATGTCTGGGAACTTGTTGACCTTCCACCTCATCGTCGATCAATTGGATGTAAGTGGATATTCAAAATCAAGCGTGGGGTGGATGGATCAATAGAAAAGTTCAAAGCTCGTTTAGTAGCGAAAGGTTTTACCCAAATTGAAGGTATAGATTACGATGAGACATTTTCTCCTGTGGTGAGATTTGCCTCTATTCGTCTTCTTCTGGCACTGGTTGCCCATTTGGATTTAGAATTATTTCAAATGGACGTAAAAACAGCATTCCTCAATGGTTCTCTTGAGGAAGAAATATATATGGATCAACCTATTGGGTTTGTCCCAAAAGGGCAAGACAATAAAGTTTGTCGCCTCAAAAGATCCATATATGGTCTCAAGCAGTCTTCCAGACGATGGTATCTCAAATTCCATGAGGCCATTCGTGCATTTGGTTTGACCATGGTTGATGAGGATCATTGTGTGTATGTCAAGAAAAGTGAAGAAGGAATTTTGTTTCTTTCTCTATACGTTGATGACATATTGTTGGCTGGAAGCGACATGGGAATGATCAACGACACTAAGCTGTGGTTGTCCTCTAATTTCGAAATAAAGGACATGGGTGAAGCTAGGTATGTCCTAGGAGTGGAAATAATGAGAAATCGTCCTAAGAAACTTCTTGGTTTGTCTCAAGAAACCTATATTAAAAGAATCTTAGAACGTTTTCGAATGCATTATTCCAAACCCGTTGATACCCCAGTCGAAAAGGGTTTAACCTTAAGTCTTGACCAATGTCCGAAAACAGATGAAGAAAAACATAAAATGAGCAATGTTCCATATGCTAGTGCAGTAGGAAGCTTGATGTATGCTATGTTATGTACACGATCAGACATCTGCTTCGCAGTTGGCTTGGTAAGTCGTTACCAAAGCAACCCTGGGCCTGCACATTGGCAAGCTGTCAAGAGAATCTTGCGGTACCTACGTGGTACAAGTGACTTGGTACTTTGCTATCAAGGTGGGTCCTTGAAATTAAAAGGATACTCGGGTGCTGATTGGGGTGGTGATCTGGATGAGTCAAAGTCAACTTCAGGATATGCCTTTATATTTGGTGGAGGTGCAATATCCTGGTGCAGTAAAAAGCAAGATTGCCTTTCACTTTCGACTATGGAAGCTGAGTATGTTTCCAGTTGCATTGCCGTTCAAGAGGCAATATGGTTGAGGAATTTTCTACAAGATCTCAACCTCACCCCAAAGGTTGATGAACCTGTAGAAATGCATTGTGATAATACTGCTGCTATCCAGTATGCCCAGGATCCGAAGTTTCACAGAAAAACCAAGCATATCAAAAGGCGTTATCATTTTGTACGAGACGCAATAAAAAATAAAGAAGTTGTCATTAAGTATATACCCGCAAATAAAATGATAGCTGATCCTTTAACTAAACCTATACGTAGAGATGCTTTCCAAACTCATGTGAAGAGTCTTGGTTTGCGTAGGTTTTAATTTTATTTTTGTGGGATAATGGATGTGTATAATGTTACACCGAACATATATGAAATTTGTTGTTCTTTGATATGTTCTTTAGCATATGTTGCATAAGTAGGCATGAGTAAAGATGTCACCAGGCTTTTGATTACGCTTATCACACAGGTAATCGCCCTATCACGTTAGTTGTGAGTAATAGGATGAGACTATGTCATATTCATATTAAGTGTATGTAATATGAATTGTATTTATACATTTGTTGTATAAATATATTTTTACAGTCGCCTTGGTAAGTCTAAGATGAGACTCTATCGAGTCGAATATGAAATAGTCCTGATTTCATATCAAAGCCTTGAAGCCGAATCTCGAGTGAAAGATAAATTATTAAGTATATTTATCAAGTGGCTCGGGTTAAATACTTGAGTAGTATCTTGACTACAGATTCGTATAACATAGTAGAGTGACATGCCCATCATAGTGGGAGCTATGTTATGACACGTATGTCATACTGCGTGTGCTTTTGAACGACCGTTAAGGATTGACAAATGATTCCCTACTTTGTCAAGGTGTGAATCCTATGGATTTTGTTGTCCAACTTTGTACGAAGCCTTTTGACTTAGAACTATGTTATGAAATTGAGACTTAGTGTTGCTACTTTAATATGTACTCCAAGAGCTATGATCGATACAGTTCGACGGAGCATGTTAGGAAAGCAACTAAGTTGAGATGAAGTTTCATTAGTGTCTAAGAAATAACTTATTCAACTTCACCACATTAGCCCGGGCGGTTATATTTGAATACAACCATGTTGTGTATATAGCATATAGGGACAGTGTATGCTATTGGTGATTTTTGAACAGTTAGAGGTTGTCGTAAGTATAAGGTGTTATGTTAGTTAGATGGTGACTTAATATAACATTGTTATTGTTGCTTTTGGTCGCACGCTCTATTACCCGTATGAGGCAAGAGATTTGCTAATAAAGATTTTTATATTATAGTCTCGGCTTAAGTGGCTGAGTGGGAGTATTGTTTTTAATTGATGTTATGTTGCATCAATTAATTAGTAACATCCACTTAAAGGTGGTGGTGTTACAACCTCATCTCCATTAAGTATGGAGTTATGAGAAGTGTGTTTAAGTCTTCATTTAATTTGAGTTCTATGAAGGCAACTATAAATTGATGCTTTGTGCATCATGAAAAGTGAACAATACGAGGAGAAAAAAGAACAAAGCAACACAAATACTATAAGTCTTTATTTAGTGCATATTCTCTTGTTGAGCCGAAACCATCACAAGGCGGCTCGGGTTTTAGAGCGTGGAGGATACCGACGACTCTAGTAGCCGTCCGATAAAAGATACGGGCAAGTTTTCGCTTCCGCTACATAAAAGTTAGTCCTATATATATTTATATATGTGTTATATAGAACCACTAACAGTCAGCAACTATGGTGACTTTTATCTAGTCTAATCAAGTCGCAGGCTTAAGTAACTAGAATGGAATTTGAAGGAGCTTGTTCTGGATCAAGTTAGTGTGCTCTTCATTGTTTTCACTCTTTTGCAGATGATGTTTCATGGTTGAATTTTCTGTCTTT